ATATGTAGACCAGGGTGTCACTGTCATCAACTAAAAGCAAATTAAAGAGTTCAGTAACCACTGGAGAACTAAAATATGGACACCTTTAATAAAAAATTAACACCTTCTTAAAGCAGACTTGGGAAGAGGCATAGGTCATGCCACAAATGAATAAAGAGCTGGGGTCAGTGACCTTCAGGTGATGCTAGGACCTAGGTAATGACGCACGACCCTGAGAAAGACATCACGATCTGCTCTCCCTGGCTGTTTCCACTGGGAATGTGGATACCAATTCCCTCCATTTTAATTTCTCCTTTTCTTTCTGCTCTTACTGCTCACTCTCAGTCTCTCATTCCCGTGCTTTGTTCTCCCTGCTGCTGTCTCACGCAGGACCTCTCTCTCAGGCATATGCTCCACCCGGCAGGAGCAGAACTTGTCACATGCAGAGAGACAAGCAGTCCTCTCCTGCCCACCAGCAAGTGCCAAGCTCAGCAGTGGCCTGGCATCCATAAATGAGTCCTGATCTGAATAGAGTAGAGCACGGACAGCCCCTAGAATTAACTGTTCCCTGTATACAGCACCGGGCACGCACCCAGAAGCTGAACACATTCAATGCCTCCAGCATAAATCCCCTCGAAACTGGAGAAAACGATTTTGTCTGTCAACTGCCTGAGCCTGGTGGAATTCAGCGATACCAGGGCCCTGACAGAAGATGAAACAAAGGAATGAAATAAAGACCCAACTCATTCCTTTAAGCAGGCTCGTCTGTCTGGGTTCCCAAAGAACTGGTGCCACACAATCCGACATTCGAAACAGGATGGGCCATCGCGATCTCTAAAGTTTCTTCCACTTCTAAAGGCCTGTGGTTCAATTACCACCAACTTTTCAGCATCCACTATATTATAGAAAAAATATGCTGAGCACTGTAAGGACTATTGATAAAAATATAAGAGACAACAGCTGTAGAAAATAATTAGGAGAGTGAAGGATTGAGTTGGACCTTGAAGGATTTAGGACTTAGATTGAGAATCAAGGGGGTTTTCAGACAAGAGCAATGGCATGCACAGAGAAGTAATAGCAGAGATGAACACGGCACACTGTTGAGACAGGAAAGACCCTAGACTACCTAAATAGGGCTCATGCACTAGAGCTACAGATGACAATGTGGGTCAGTCTCCCATCAGGGGACCTTGAATGCCAGGATAAGAAGTTTGGGCATTGTGGGTGAGGCTGAGCCTTTACAAAAAGCATCTGAATAAAAAAGAGACAGAGAAGTGATATTTCATTAAAATGTATCTGGTGGCCACAGGTAGGTTGAATTCGAGTAGAGAATGACTTTAGAAAGATCAGTTGGAAAAATAATGCAGTAGTTGAGTTATTGGTAATGAGAATCACTACTAGTATATTGGCAATTGCAATGAACACAAGAGGGCAGAGAGGCAGACAGAACAGGAAGAACTGTCAGCCCTCAAGGGAAGCCCCTCCCGGGATGTGGACTGACACCCTCATCCCAAGTGGGTGTGTGGGGGGCATGGCAGTTCTATCCGAGGGGTCTCACAATGGGTCAGCACATCGTGGTGACGGTACCTAATCCCTTCTTCAATACCCAAACCACATTCGTGTGACTGGCCTCCGAAAAGAGAGGTTTGCGCATCTCTGATTAACGCCTTCTCCTTTAAACTCTCTTCCTCCTTTTCCCCATTCCTTCCTTCCACCCAGCTCAGTGTCAAAAGTCTGAGAGAGGTTTCCACCACAACCACCACACCACAGAGCCCATCTCCTCTCGTTCGTTTCACAATCTTTCTTCTCTATCACCTTTTGAGTTAACCTCATTAGAAACATATTTATCAAGATACCTCGTTACCATGGTGATAAGAAGGCAACATTACAGACAGGAGAAAAAATAGCCCTCTTCTTTTACTAGCTTAAAGATTTCTCACTTTCCATCAGTTTACCTAAAAGATTAGGCCATTAATCTCCAGTCTCCCAAAATAAGCCTGCAAATAGCTCAGCCCTCCTTCCAAGACCAATATATAGCCCAAGCCTCATCCTAATTGCTCTAATTACATGAAGAACATAATGGGATACAGCAGCAGATGGCTACAGATTAAATTTGACGGAGAAGAAATTCTCCTCTCTCTCTCACTGAAGAAAGTTTGCCTTGCAAAAGGAAAATTAAATCATTTTGTTCACAAAACCAAATATATGTTTTTAAAAATGCTATCCCACTTTTCAATCTTCTTCAATAGCACCTTTCCTTAAAAACAGAAAATTCACTCATTTCATGTAGGTTTCTGTTACTATATATAACAGAGATAAATTTGTACCCCTGCTGAACAAAAGCTGTGCTCATAGAAAGCTGTTTGTCAGGAGCTTACATAATACATCATATACTGCCACAAATGCGCTCTATAATCTCAAAGACATGCTCTACCAAATATAGAATTGGGGGGGTGTCTTTAATTTGGGCGTAACAACAAAAAGCCTCTATTCAAACCATCGTTAGCCCCAGCTTTTCACAAGGGATGGAGTGTTGACCTTCCAACCACTATATTAATACTCATTGTCTCTAACTCAAGGTCCAAAAACGAAGTCGATATCTTCCCCTTAAAAATAAGGTGGTTTTCTGGGGCTGGCACAGTGGCATATTGTTAAGTTCGCCAGCTCCACTTTGGCAGCCTGGGGTTCGCGGGTTCAGATCCTGGGTGCAGACCTACACACCACTCATCAAGCCATGCTGTGGCAGCATTCCACATACAAAATAGAGGAAGACTGGCACACATGTTAGCTCAGCGATGATCATCTTCAAGCAAAATAGGAAGATTGGCAACAGATGTTAGCTTAGGGCCAGTCTTCCTCACCAAAAAACAAAACAAAACAAAGAATGGTGCTCCTCAAACTTTAAAAAAAAAAAAGTTTCTCTCAACTTCTTTTTTTTCTGGCTAGTGGTAACATCAGGCTCAAACCTTGGAGCTGTCTTTTCAAACTCCTCATGCTATTGTCTGTACTATCAAATAGTATCTTGCATAAAGAAAGTCTTGTATACAGGAAGCCGCAAAATCTCCATCACCTACCTCCCAATACCTCAAAGGAGACATCTACCACTGCTGCCATAATCTGGGCTCCAAGGAAGTCCCCGTACCCCTACACTGAGAGCAAGAAAGGGGGACAGAACCGCTACTGGTGAAACTAGAGACAGAAACAAACTTTTCCCTCTAGTCTGAAGATGGAGGAGATTCTGAAAGCTAGATATAGGCAACAGCCCTTTCCCAAAGTTGCGAGTCTCTCGCTTCATTTCTACAATCAGTTCTATCCAGATCATTAATGTGTCTCAAAGTTCCCACTGCCAGGGCAGTCCATGCTGGACCAGGAGGGATGTGAAAATCGTAGGAGAGTCCATACTTTTTTTTTCCTACAGTTGTAACACTCCAATGTCAGTATCAGAAATTTCTATTCTCTGTAGAAAAAAACAACAGTTACTGAATTTCCACAGCTGCTCTGATGTATCACTGCACAGCCCCTAACTGTTAAAAGAAAAATTAAGGAACGTTTGTCTTCATGCTCCTATTTCTCAAAAGCAGACATTTGGGTAACATGAAGTGAATATATGGGGTATGTGACCACCGCTCCAGTACTGTTAAGGGTCGAATATTCTTTCACATATCAATTTCTGTTAATAAATGAAGTCGGTCTGCTTAGACCTCTAAGTCAGTCACCTTAATACTTGACTTGTATTTTTGTTACACTTTATTCTGATATTTCTTTGTCCATCTTCATAATGACTCAATCTGAGAAACACATGAAGAATTAAACACTGAAAAGAGAAAAATGATACAGAAAACATTTTGAAATGCCCTATTTTCTTGAGTTAAGTGTTTAAAGGTAGCTGAAAACTTGTTTTCCAAGAATCAAATCCATTTCCCATTTTTTGTGGCATGTGGGGGAAGCAGAAAAACTATCAGGACAATGGTAGGCAACATTGTCACCTCAAGGATCATTTGACCCTGTTTACAGACGGCCCGTGCTTCACCCTTGGCCCCCATGTCATGTCCTCTCCCTTCTCACAAACCTAACTGGAGCTCTTATGTTCTCTCTTCCACTCCTTTTGATAAAGCCCACTCCCCAATATGGGAACTGATAAGCTCATTCACTAACAAAATTATCAATTAACATTCGCAGAACACAACGGTTTGAAGTTTAACAAGATATATAAAGCTTTATGACAAATAAATTTCTCTTAAAGGATATGGGACAAGGAAAAGAAGAGCAAAGATTTTTATCATCCAGACATGAATTTACACAAAAACTCTTTCCAAAAGAAAAATTAACGACCCTCTATTAACTCAGTTTGTTTCCCTGATAAAAGCCCCTTGTCTCACCTTCTTAATATCTTCATTGAAAAGCCTCTGCTGAAGATGACTCAACAGCTTCCTTCATTTGTTATTCAACCAACCCATAATAATAGCCATATTATATTAATCCACATAGGCGAGGTTATGCCTTGATAGCAAATTAACTCTGAAATTTCAGCAGCTTTACACAAAGTGTGTTTCTTGCTCTTTTGGGCACAATGTCCTCTATGGATCCAGAAGCTTTCTTCCAAATGGTGACTCATGGACCCACTCTAGTACATCTTGTGATTCTGTCATCTCAACACGTGGGTCTCCACCATCCACATGGCAGAGAGCTTCGGCTCATAAATGACACCTACCTATCACCTCCACTTATAGTCTATCAGTCAGAATAAGCACGTGGCCCCAACCTAAGTGCAAGGAAGGCAGGAAAACACAGCCTCGGCCTGGCTCTGAAGAGGGAAATAAAACAGGACTAGGTGAACACGTAGCCTTGTCTCTGTCACAGCGAGGTGCTGACTATATACCTAATTAACTACCATGCACCTGGAAGTCTTTATATATATTAACATCTTTAATATCCACGGCCACTCCATAAGATAGGTATTATAATTATTATCCCATTTTAAAAACAAGGAAACTGAGGTCCAAAGAAGTTAAGTAACTTACCTAAACTAGGAAGTGGCCTAGCTGGGATTCACATGCAAGCAATGGGCTCCAGAATATATTACATCATTTTGCTTCGCAAATGTGCAGAACATGGCGCTGGGCACTGTTGAGGATATCGGGCTTCAAATATCTGTAGGGCTGTCACATGAAAAAAGGATTTGGATGTGTTCTATAAGTCTTGAGAGGATAAAATAAGAGGTAGTAATGAGAGAAAAATTTAAGTGAAAAACAGACTCAGAGAGATTAAGTAAGTTGACGAGGATATTATGTACAGGCAGGATTTAAACCCAAAGCAATCTGGCCTCGGAGCCTAAGCAATCTTCCACTGCACCTCACTGCTAGTCAATTTAGAGAGTGCGGGTACAAATCTCTGTCTACAAATCACACGGGCAAGAAATGTCATTTCGATCTTTTCATTTTTTTCTGGGACTAAACTTAATTTTGGTTGTGAGCCCTATTTGGCTGGGAGGCAGAAACTTAATCTTTGCATTTTTGCTCTGAGGTCTTAGGGAGAAATCCACTCTCCTCTCGGAGAAGCTTCACCAAACCTTCCCAGGGGTTTCTTTTGAGCCCAATGCCAACCGCTAGGCCCTCTCGACTCCCTTTCGGACTGTCCTTCCTCAGCTAGTCTACAAAATCTTTTTTCCTGACTTTCCCAAATTTGGTTTTATAGACAGACCCAGACTTCAAATTTCTGAAATTCAAAAACCAGACACTTGCCTCTTCTCTGCATTCTGCTGAGGTGTCTCTTCCCTCCCCTGATAACTAGCAAAGGGAAACTGTCAGAGGGCAGCAGGAAGTACCAGAACGGAAAGCACACTGGTTAATACATCACTATATCACCTGTACGTAAAGGACGTCTTCTGACAATAAAGCTGCTGAGAATGAAATGAGCTGCATGAGGCAGCTGGTTCAAGAAGTATTCACGGAGCCAAATATAGAGGTTTAACGGGTCTATTTGGAAGGGGCAGGGACTGAATGGGCCAAGAATGTTTTATCTTAATGGATAGAAGAACAAAAGAAAGAAAAACAAAAAAACAGACAAACCTATCACGTCAAGGAAGCCAGAACAGAATGGCTGATTTTCTACCCATTTTCAACTGGAAGAGGGTAGGAAGGGACAGGTTACCATAAATCTCAATACTGACAAGAGGATAATTAAGGAAAATATGTACAGATCATAAAGGAATAGAATGAGAACACCTAAGAACAGGATTTCCTAAGATCCTCTGAAATGAGATCAAGTTTGTCCTCCTTGCTGAGAAAGAGGAGGGAATGGTAGGGAAAAGGTGAAGGTGTGGAAGATTATCCAAAAAATTCTGAGCTGCAAGAACTCTGTCACCGCCCCTCAGTGACACCCTGATTCTGCTCTAAACCCCCGGAGCCTCCAGGAGAGAGAAGGCAGGGCATGCCGAGCAAGAAGACAGAAAGCCGCTGGAGCCCAGACGTCAACATTCACCCGTTTTACAGCCTAGGAAATACATCCTGACTTTTCTCATAATTTTCTCTCAACTTTTGTCTGAGAGCTAATGATAAAATAATAACAATAATAATAATAAATTACTTTGAAGTACCCCCAGAGACTTCAGAAGATATGCTGAGCCACATTAAAATGCAGCTTGGAGTTATGTAAAGTATCACATGAAAATTTAAGACCCTTCAACATTCAATCTTATTTAATTTCAAAGCAGTATTTCAAACCAGAAGGCACTAAGGGAATTGAGAGAGAAAAGGGAGATAACAATATTCTACCTCTATTAAGGGGAGAATTGAGGTGGGGGGTGGGTCTATTGAACATCTGTAATAACAGCTTCATTTGTGATACATTATAAATTTCTGTCCCTCTGTCACAATGCAAGGACAAAGGACCATTTCTTTGTTGTTTCCTACATTATTACTATCAGTTAAAATTAAGATGAAAAGCTACATTTCTGGCTCTGACCTCCCTTAAGCCCTAGGCGTATACATCGAATTGCTTGCTGGTTTTCCCTCCCCTTGGATCACATTCCACAAGCAGAACAAATTCAATTTGTCCAAAACTTTTCCCCAAATCTGATGTTCTTCTTTTATTCTCCATCCCAATGCACCCAAGACAAGAATCTAGGAGATTCATCCTGGACACACTTCATCCTTTAAGATGAAAGAATCACAGATTTTACCTCCTAAATTACTCAGTTGGTCTCCTCGTCTTTATCCCTTCCTCCACCTGCTCTATCAGTTCAGGCCACCGTCGTCTCTCCTCTGAACCCCCCGCACCAGCCTCCTGGCACATCTCTCCCCTTCTCATCCTGTCTCCTGACAAGCCATTCTGCGCACTAGCCCCAGAGGGATGCTTCTAAAGCGCAAATGTGCTCATGCCACACCCCACAACACAGCCTTACGATGATTAGACTCCATTCTCTGTGAGGTCTAAACCAAGTTTCTTAGCATGGCAAAAACGCTTCCATAAGTCAGCCATTAATAGCGTCACTTTCCACCAACGGCCACATCACACAATCGCTCCAATTAAGCAACATGAACAACTCGAAGTTGCAATCCCCATGCTGCTTTACACTTTTTTGTCTTTCCTGTGCCTGGAATGTCCTTTCCCTCTTCAACAAGCCACAGTTCAAAACTCCATTCCTTCAGGAACTCTTCCCTGGCTCTTTGCCGCCCCTTCTCCTCTCCCTTCAGGATGGAGTGCCCTCCTTCTCTACTTGCACAGCACAGCAGCCCTGCCTCTCCAGCACCATCAAGCTCTAGGGAAATGTCTGTGTGTCTGCGTTACTCACTGGACTGTGACAGCTCACGGCTGTGGTCCTCTCCTCCACTCACAGTGCCCGGTGCCCAACGACATTTTCTTCATTAAGTGCCTCAATTTCTACTTGATGCTATTTGTAACATTTTCTTCTAGTTTTCAATACAGGTACAAGTGAGGGGTTTACGATAAGTAAGATTTTGTATGCTCGATTTAACAGGAAAATGGCAAGGAGCCTTTACTGACATCTTCCCCAGGTCAGCAGAGCACCACGCCATCACTTTCACATGATATTTAATGTCTAAAACAGCCAGGTAAGTTAAGTAGTGGCAGTATCCTGTTTCTGCAGAGAAGGAAACACCAGCTCAGAGAGGATAATAAATTCTCCCAAGGTTATATAGCTGGGAAGTGGATACATCAATATTGAACGACAGGGTCTATGCGAACTCAATAGTGCTTCTCACATAAGAGAGAGAACACAGAAATTAAATGGAAAGAAAAGGCAATACAAAGAATAAAAGAAGAGAAATTTTTCTACATTCTCCTCCATTCTCACAGTTTTCTCCACATTTCTCAGCAGAATAGGGGACTCTGGGTAATGGAGTCATTCTAAGATCATGGCTGTTACTTACTACACCATGTCAATAAAAGTTCAGGTTAGCAGGTTCAATAAACTTAAGTATTAATTAGTGTCATTCCTCTAGATATCCATCTACTAAATTTCTAACCTTGCGAACCATCTCACAAACATGTGGACCAGGAAAACACGTGTAGAGGCTGTTCTAATCCATCACCATTACAAATACAGCTCAGAGAACTAACCTTCCTAACGGCACTTGCACATTTTGGTGTATGACAGATATTACAAAGACGCTCAAGGCTCTGCTCTGCAAACAGAACACACAATGGAACACCTACTGGGAAAAGCTGAGTGTGAGGGTTATTTCATGTGCTTGTCCCAGAGGATGAGGATTCCCCTCCTTCAGGAAAGGGGTGAGGACAAGCTACCTCTCACACCATACCCATACACCCTAGGTTTGGGACGTTCTGGGGCAAGCTGTGGGTACTGAGGACTATGGGCTCAGTATATGAGTCATGGCTGCAAGCTCAGGGGAAAGGACTAGAACAAGTCCAATGGCCCTGGACTTCCACTTCCACAAGTCCTGCCTGGTAACATGGCCTCATAAAACTACGTTTGGCCCACTCGGTGGAGGTAATCCAGCCCCAATAAAGATTGCATTGGCTGCTAAACAACATTTGGAGTTCATCACCCAGGAAACTAAAAGAGCTACAATTCAGGGACACCAGGCAGAGAGCCCAACAACAGCAGCCTTGAAAAAGACAAAGAAGAAAAAATGTAGCAGCAACTCACTGGACATGTGACTTGAGACTCTTGGCAGCCTGCCTTGCGGGGCTGGACAGCCTGTGGGCAGAGAATTCACATCATCTTCTCTGCTGCCAGAGGCCAAGAAGGCCCAGACAGAGGAATACCAACTCAGATCCTTCATCAAGCTAATAATCAATGAGATCTCCCCGAGGGGAACAATGAATGAATAACCATGACTCTCATCTCTTTTACACACACATGTGACTTATCAGCATGACGCTAACTGGGCTGTACGACTTCTACAACCTGAAAGTTCTGTAATATATTAATTGGCTATCAAATATGCAACCAATGCAAGGTTTCTCACCTGGTAGGCAGATTGCTCAACAAAACTCTGAAGCAACAACAAAGAACAGAGTCCAGCTTAACAAGTCAACCAATATTAATGGGGCGTGAATTGAGACACTGGACAAAGAGCAGCTAATACAAAGATGGGTAAGATGTCTTTGAGGAAGCTACAGTCTACCGGGGAGGAAATGAAAGCACAGAGAACGTCAATATAATATGGTAGTCACATAGTATGTATATGACAGTGTATGAAGATCACCAGCCAGAGTCAAAAGACCGAAAGCAGGGTAAGCAAACATCAACCCCTGTGAGGACCAAAGGGAAGAGTTAAAAAAACAACCCTAGAAATCACCTTGTCTGGATTTTTTAATGAGGACACAAGTTAGAAAGGGGTATGACTTACCCAGAGTCATGCAGTCAATCAGCAGCAAAGCCTGGGCTAGAACTCAGATCTCCAGCACTTTCCACCATGGCAGAATACTGTCCCAAAATCACAGAAAATGGGGCAATTTCTAGGCTTCTGAAGCTGAGAGAATACAACCTTCAAAAGTAGGTGCAAAAGACACACTGACTAAGGAAATATGAACGGGGATGGAGGGAGGGGTATGAGGGCTGGATGTCCTCAAGGGTGGGAGACCCAGAAAACAGAATGGCATCTGCGTGTCATGTCAATAACCAGAAAAATTCAGAGCATTTCTTTTGTAACTGGCAGCAACCATTCTCCTC